AATATAATATATATAATAATATATAATATGGCGAGGACAAAATCTGCCTGGGACTTTGGTAGCTTCTGTGGTTGTGCCAATTTTTCAGCAATCTGCTAACCGATTCTTTTTTATGAACTTCATATACATCATTTGTGGATTATTGTGGTATATTAAACCACATGTCATACCTAAGGAGTATTTTGATATCACCAACAAAGTTGTTCACTTTGATGAAATACAGTCCTGGCCAAAAGTCAAGGAATTTGAAATGCCATGTAGCTGTCTCTGAGAAACCCCTATTTGCCCAATTTAAAGGAAGTTAATTATTTCATTAAGAATAAAAATGAAAAAAATCTTATTATTTCCTTAATAATAAAAATTGTAGGCTGAACCCACAGCTAGTTAACGTGCAGAGAATAGGAACTGTGGGACGTTCAGCCCAAATAAGACCTGTAGCAAACTGCCCCTCCCAGGCTCGGAGGTCACAGGGTGTGAGAACAGTGTCCTCTGACACAACAGGGCAGCTGGGAGATGAACTCCCACAACTGTGGCATCATATATAAGGCCTCACCAAGACAAATGCCGGCATAGAGGGGCGAGGTGGGCATGAAGTCCCACCCTTACCTGAACTATTGGCAACATACAGCTGCTAGGATAAGGAGGGTCAGATTGCTGTAGGCCATATTCAGTCAACCACACAGTGGATGGCCATACACACAAGTAGACTTGATGGCTTCTTGTTTGTTTGTCTTAGGAGGACGTAATGTTGGGTGGGTAGGAATGAGAGTGGATCCGACAGGAGGTGGAGGAGGGGGTATATATGACCAATTTACATTATAGGAAATTCTCAAAAGAATAAAAATATTTTTCAATGGTGAGCTGAAGAGATGGCTCAACAGTTAAAAATGTTTTGAGAATATTTTACTGTCCCCAACAGCCAAAACCAAGTGTCTCCGCATGCAGGAAGCAGTCCCTGCCCTGGAGACTTACTAGTGCCCAGAGTGAGAGGCACCGCAGATGCCAACAGACCTAGGCAGCAAAGAACCACCATGGGACACCACCATCTGAAGTTCAACAGAATAGGAGGCCGTGTCTTTCTGTTAGCGAGCTAGTGGGAAAGCAGAGTGTAAGACCTGGTAATTCTCAGAGTTTTTCTGTGCAGGGACCTAAAAGGGTTACTTGTCAAGGATCTGGTCCCATCAATTATAATAGAAGAAAACCTGTTTAGAGAAAACCAGTTTACTGGGGGAAATGACTTTGGGACATCTGAAATGCCCTGACCTATGATGTCATGTCCTCTGAGGAGTCTGAGCCAGCAACTCTTCATTGGCAATGAAGTCACCCATCACCTCACAGGCGTACAGGTAAGTAATAGCTTTGGATTGATTGACTTCAGTGAATAATGCCCACAAGTCAGACACATCAGCAGAAAACCAGGAAATCTAATTCTGCTGCATCGTGTTGCACCTGCCAGAGGCCATGGCTGCACTTGCACACCACCCAGGTAAGAATCACAGCTGCTGTGGGTTTTCCTGCCAATCTGCCTTCCAGTGGCCGAAGGTAAGGCATTTTTGTATTACACTGCAATGGGGTCCTGTGTGGTCACATGCAGCTCCATTCGTCAGGACCTGGATCAGAGCTAGTTCTGGAAGGTATAGTCAACACCTAAGCTGGAAACTCCTTCCTAAAGCTTGGTGCTGAGTTTTTAATGCCCCACAGAAACTCTGGTTTAAAAGACACTTGGTCAGCATGCAGTGAGCCCACTACGGTTGGTACTGAAAGCTGGTGGGAAGAAATGGAGGAAGAACAACAGACAAGAAATGACAACGGGAACTAAATGTACAAACGCAAAGGAGATGCTAAGAGGAGACACTCCACATGTCTAATGAGGAGACTAATGCTGTGGAATGCCTGGAGTGTGTGGGTCTCAGTTTCCTCCAAAAGGAAGGACAGAAACCAGACGCAACAGTCGAAGAGATATATGGTGATATACAGAAGGAAGCTGTCTTTAAAAGGACCTTTATTTACGAATAACTATGCCAACAGCACAAAAAAGATCCATGGAGTATAAGATCCAGTTCCTTTTAGTGAGGATTCTATGATCAACGACTAGACACACACATACCACATAAATGTGAAATAAAACAAAAGGGCAGATACTAGCTAACAACCAGAGGCACCACTGTATCGGTGCCAAGTGATGATCAAGAGAAAAAGGGTCAAGGCTCTGATGTCCTAGATGTGAAGATGAAGCTGGACTCTGAAGACAGCACAGGCTGCCTTAAGCAAACAGGCAGAGAGGTACCTAAAGCAGGAAAGCCAGTGTGCAGAAGGCACGCAGGCCGCTGGGAGACCAATAACTGTGCTGCTCTAGAAGAACTTAAAAAGTATTCTCATGAATACACGGACGCCCCAAGCAGTACTCTCATACAGGTATAACAAGACTAGACGCTGGGGGAGGGAGCAACGGCAAGGACTGTTTAGCAGGTGGGCAAGAGGACTAACTTCTGTCCACAGCACAGCAGGGTGACTGCCCTGCCCAGCCGCATATCCCAGAAGAGCCAGTGTAGACCGGTTGGGACTCTACCCCTACTGAGAATATATGAAGTGATGAATATACCAATGAGTTGATCTGAAACATTTTATAGACATACTGAAATGCCATGCTATATACAATAAAGACACATGACCATTTGGAGTCAATTAAAAAACATTAATAAAACAGGAAGAACCCATTTCCCTTGATCTTCTTCCCCAGAGACACAGCCTATCAACAACACAGGCTAGACGCAGGGAAGGAAGCCCAGGGGTCCAGGTCACCGCTTCCACCTATCACCCGAGAATATGCTAGAAACACCAGCTTTCCCAAATCTTTACAGGCCCACTAAATCAACATCAGCTGGGGGTGGGACCCAGGATGGCGGGGGCATTTAAAAAAAACTTCTTTCTCAGACAGAATATGCTAAGTGAAAGTTCTACCACTGAGCCAAACCCCCCGCCTGGGAATATCGGTGTTTCTGAGGTGTGCTCATTTGAGAATTCATCTGGATATTAAAGAAAATCTGAGTTGACAGAAATGCATAAACAGTGTGTGTGTGTGTGTTTGCACATGTGCATGCATACATGTGTACACGTGAAAGCCAGAGTTGGGAGGTGTTCCTCAGGAATCGTTCTCCTTTTTTCTCAGACTCTCTCACTGACCTGGAACCAACAAACCGATGAAGCATGGCTGACTGGCCAGTGTGCCCCAGGTATCCTCCTGTCTGTGCAAGCAGAACCTGCATGTTTTTATGTGGATTCTAGGGACCAAACAAGGGTCCTCATGCTTCTGCAGCAAATACTTTACCACCAACTGAGCCATCTCCCCACATCAAACAAATCCTTTCAGAAGTACACTGGAAGCTCTCCCATACTTAAGAGAAACATATTTGTGTACAACATAAGAAGAAGAAAAAAAATCAAGACTTCAAGTAGGATGCAAGCTTCCATTACAACAAAATCTTCCCCTGCTTGCTCTGCAGCTTCCCACCTCTCCCGCTTTAGCGTTCAAGGCTGGAGTGCTTTTCGTGACATTTTCCAATGTGTATGGAAGGAAACTGGGGAATGCATTTCTCACTTGATTTATGACCAAACACATCCAGTTCTTTTTGTCTTGGGCCCGAATGTGTCGTGAACAGAGCAACAGCTCTCCCGTGGCTCCCAACGTCACTGTCCCGCAGAGCTCCATGGAAGAAGGAGGGCTAGCTAAACTGTTCTCCACTGACTCCGACAGGCACACACTGAAGGAAATGAGGGACGATGTGGAATTCACTGAATAGCATATAGACTAATTCCAACTCGAGTGCAGCCAGAATTAGACAGCGGATACCACGGCAACATCAAAAGGGACTTTCATGCTGATACATGCTTAAAGGTGACAAGCATATTTAGTATCCATGATTTAAGTCCAGAATATATAATCTCTGCACAGAAAATTAAAATAATCTTGGATGGGATACGTATGCAACACACACACACACACACACACACACACACACACACACACACACAAAACTCTAGAAAATGAATGTCTAAACTTGGGAGTTTCACTCTGATTTCAGGTCACTTTTCAACATCTTCAGGTCACCCCAAAATTTCAGCATGCCAAATTCTTCCAAGTCTTTCTTAATACCTAATATGATCATAATGATTTCACATTTGAATCCAGCTGAGGCTATAAAAAGCCAAGTACTGTGAGGAACACTTTCCAATCCATTTAAAGTCCCAAGAATGCCCAACTAGGGTCAAAGACATCATTATCTATAATCTGTTTTAAGCAATTTTAGCTTAAAAAATTTTAATGCTCTCTGGGTGAATTATAAATATATTTTGAATGTATTTGATTGAGTAATCAAGGTCTTACAATTATTCATAGATTCACTGTCCTGGATCTGAGCACACAGACGCCCTCTGCAGGCTCAGACCCATCCTGTTCTGCAGCGGTTCCTCTGGCTCCATCCACACCGTACAAGAAAACCCCATGTAACCAAACAAGCGCAAGGCTTTTTGTTCGTACATGTATCATTTGCTGCAGTGGACCTGAGCTGATCTACATGAGCCTAGCATTATGGCAGAGCAGATAAAATTAGACGTCAGTTACTACGTCTCCACCAGGCAGGCTGCTATGCTGTAAAACATAACATAACTGGCCTACCTGAAATGCCACTCAAGGACAGTTTCCAGAGACAGCCAGTACAGTGCAAACGTCCTTGCCATGCTGTTTGCACTAGAGAGGCTATGTTGAGAGGAGGAACACTGAACTTCCCGTCCGTGACCCCAGACAACCACAAACTGCACTCAGAGCAGACTGGAAGCCACACCCTTCCCCGCCAGCCTGGAAACGGAAAGAAATTATTCAACAGAGATTTGCTTTGCCCACTGGTTAGCGAGCGCCCTGAGATCTAATGGCTTGAAGGCTTGCTGGCCAAGGCAGTGACGGCTTCTCTTTCTTTAGCAGCGACCGAAGCACAGCAACTTACGTAGTGGCTGTCCAGTCTCCACTGGCCCCTCCGTCTGCTGGGAGGTGGTTTCTCTCTGGGCCAGAGAGCCCATGGGCAGTTGAAGTTGTGGGAGACGGAGTGGACAGAGAATCCTGACTGCTGGGAGTGTCCTCCTTGAGAGGGCTGGGACTGTCACCTAGAGGGAAAAGAACAGAGAATAAAAAAATAACTCCACTAATAATTATATGGCATTAGTTACCAGCCAGTCATAGTATTTTCAAAATTACATTTGTAATTAGTCCAGAGAGTGTGTGGATAGCCAGCTTTTGAAGGTCTGTACCTGTGAATTTATTTTACTTCCTTCCTTCCTCTCTCTCTCTTCTTCCCTGCCTCCCTCCCTCCCAATAACGACAGAACTGTTACAGTCTGGATAAGGAATGTCCCTGAAGACCGATCCGCGAACAGCCTGGCTCCCACTTAATGACACTGCTAGATAGTGGTGGAAACCTTAAGAAGCACAACTTTGTAAAATGTTTACTTGGCCACAGAGGGTATGTCCTCAAAGGGGACTCTGAGATCCCAACCCCTTTGTGGCAGCCAAGAGGTAGCAGCTGTTTCTATCACATGCACCCTAATGCCTCCCACATGCCTAATAACAACTGGGTCCAATTAGTCCCTAAAACTGGGGACCAAAGTAAACTTTCTCTCTGTGTAAGCTGGCATATCACATGTATTTATTATGGTAACAGAAAGCTGACGAACACATAGATTATATCTCATGAAGAGTGAAGAAAAGAAAATAACCAAAAGACTGAATGGAAAACAAGCACCTTGTGTGCAGCCATGATAAAGGCTTAACCTGCAGAGAACCCAGACAAAGCAACGAGAGCAGCAGGGAGAGCCCAGAGCAGCACAACGGCCAAGCACAGCCCCACCGTTCTGCTCTAGTCACCTGCTCGTGCTGTTCACACTGAGTACATGAGAACAGGAATCCACATTCTGAGCTTCTACCACGGGCTCTATTAATATCCACAGATGGAGGAGCCACTAAAGACCGCGATTTTGGTTCCCCGCAGTACTTACTAGGGATGACCGGAAGCCACAAGTAAGAAGAAGGTCGTACGTGAGGCTGTGATTTACACATTTTAGGAAGCAAGTTTATTACTATGTCATCAGCTGGTGCAGAGATGAAAAGGAGAGCCGATCTGACACAGCAGCTTTCCCTCTGACCCGGCCTCCGGGCTTTCACGGGGGCCCAGGGTCTATAAAACACACCAGAATGCCCCAAACAGAGCTGTTCTTTCTGCCCAGAGAACTTAGACCTTAACTCCCCCATTGACCTCCAGAGGAAGCAGTTCTACAGACACAACTCTAACTTGGCCTTGATTTTCCAGAACAACTGCCCAACACTGCCTCAGCAGCAAATGGAGGTTCAGAACCTCGGCCAACAAAAGCTGCATGTGTACTGAGAGCTCTGTAGCCTGGGTCTTAGGCACAGAGCACACACGAATGCCAGGGTCAGGGAGAGCTCACGCTGAGAAAGCTGTTTCAGAAAACCTGCTGTTCCTCCCCAAACGAAGCAGAAGACAAATGCTAGGCCCTGACTTGACTGGACCCTAGGCTGGTCTAGCATCCTAGGCATGCTAGTCTGGAAAACTGAGTGTAGAAAATATATCTTTCTGACCTCTGACCCAACTCAGAACTAAGGCTAAGTGTCTTAGAAATAAGGTCCAGAAAAGCTTCATTAGGTCAGTGAGCACTGGGAACAGCGGACTGCGGAGCAATGCCCGGGGAGACACAGGAATGAAGAAGCACCCTGCATGGAAAGTGAAGCAAGCCTGGGCTGAGTGACCAGCTTAGACTAATGCTCTTTCTCTCTGTGCCTCCTGGTAAAGTCTTGTCCTGTCCTCGTCTCAGCCACATTCTAGAAAGATTGCTTCACTTGTCTTTCAGCTAAGTCACTTTGTCGATAGCCCTTCAGCACAAACATGCTTGCAACTGGAGAAATTCAGCCCTAACAGTAGCGCCAACTTAGAGGCAAGTGAACCAAATTCACTGTTAAAACATTGCTTCGATTCCTTTTAGTTCCCTTTGAAGGCACAGCTGTCTCTTCCTTTGCCTGGAAAGTTCGACTCCAGTTCTTTTCCACACACGTACAAACCGTGTCCCTCAGTCACTGCGAGCGACCACCCCACAAAACTGAGAGCGGTTCAGCTGGGTGTGGTGCACACACCTGTGAGCTCGGGGCTCTGGGAGCCTGAAGGCTGCAGAGTTTCACAGAGATATCCAACCTGGGTTACGTGGTCAGTTTAAACCTAGACCACATACAAGACCAGAAAGATAATTTCTATGGCTTCAATGTGAAATTTCCCTTCCTCCTCCTTCACAGATAGGTTTGTGTGTATGAAGCTGTCATGAAAGGTTATGGAGCTTTAAAAGAGGGCGCCTTGCCGGAGAAAATGGTCCACTAGTGACCACTCTTGAGTTTTATGGTCTAGTCCTACTTCCTGCCCTTGATGCATCCTGAGTGGGGATGGGGGTGCCAAGAACCTAACCAGGTGCTCCCACCACCTGGTGCTTCATACCGCCTAGATGGACTGTGTACCCTTCAACCGTAAGTCCACAGAACTCATCTCACCCTTAGGTGGCTTCTTGCCAGGGATGTGGCTGCAGCAACCGTATAAACACTGTCAGGTAACCAAGTCAAGCTCAGATATGAGAGTCCACTTTGGAAGCTCCGGTGAGAGGGACATACACACACAGTTGACCCTGGCTCCCTGAGACCGAATTCTAGACTGGCACTCTTCTAGGCTCACCAACCGACTGGGGCAGTGCCTAGCACAGCACAAGCGACTGTGGAGCGGCTGGGACCAGCTTCCCTCCTGACATATTCTTACCAGGAGGGGCTGTAGATGAGAGGCAGGTTTGGGGAACCTGGGAGCCAGGGTCTAATGTTACTTTAAAAACACTACCAGATACAGCAGTTCCTTTACAGTGCCTCTAATCCTTTCCCCAGACAGACTGACACAGTACTGAGAGCCCTATGGGCAGTCCACCAGCGGTGGCAGTCTGAGCCCTCCGGTGAGGGCGGCATGGTGGGAGAGACTACGCCTGCAGACTGATCAAAGGAAGGCACCTCAGACTACTTTCTCAACAAACAAAATTCCTTTCCCCATCTTCATTCGGGAATGAGTCTGCTGGACAAAAATGACATCCATTATGTGCACCAATAGTCAGGCTTATAACTACTTCCCACTTCCGTTCACAATAACTTCTCCTAATAGCGTGGTCATCAATATATTTGCATATGGAAGATGGAGGTCAATTCCGGGTTTTAGGCTCAGACACATTTTTTCCCTTTGATATGGGGTCTCTCACTGGCCTGAAATACAACAAGTAGTCTATACTGGCTGGTCAGCAAGCTCCGGAATGCCCCTGTCTCCACCCTCCCTGCTCTGGAATCACAAGTCATGCCACCATGCCCACATTTTTTGCAATGTGTGTTCTCAGATGGAAGTCAGATCATCAAATTTGCAAGTAGTTTAGTTCTCTCCTAAACCTATGTACTCAGTGCTCTCTAAAGCAAGTGTCTGAAATCTTGTGAGATTAATCTACAATTAAGAATTAGGATGAGATGCTTTTTTGCTCATCTTGCAGGACTATGAACAGAACCTGGAGCCCAGTGCATGCGCACACACATTCTACCGAAGGGCCCCAGCCCCAGCCTCACTGCGGTCATTTTCATCTCTCACTTCTTTTAGCAACCTCTACCCTCAGGTGCAAGTCACTGTAGGCGGAGACACCCGGGCCCAAATAATAACGCAGAAACTATATGAATTAATATAATAATTATATAAATATTGTTTGGCCAAGCCAATAACTTAGGCACATTTTTAGCTAAGCTTATATCTTAAATTAACCCATTTTTATTATTCTGTGTATCACCACGAGGCTATGGCCTACCGTTAAGGTTCTGGCTGGCAACTGGTGTCTTTCTCCTTCAGCAGCTACATGGCAGTCTCTCTGACTCCACCAACTTTCTCCCTATATCTCTGTTTGGAATTACTGCCCGGCTTTACTCTAAGTCATTGGCAGAAACAGCTTCTTTAATAACCAATGGTAATAAAACATAATTAATAGCATACAGAGGGGAATCCCGTAGCTAATCACCCTTTAATGGGCATCTACAAGCAGTCCTGTGAATAAAACAAGCAAAAATGGTACTACAGGATTTTTATTTTGAACAATGACCAACACATAAGAAAACAGGCAACATCCAGCTTAAGCCCGACCTCTACCAAACACTTGCCAACACTTGTCTGAACTCTCCTCTCTCAACTAAGGCAGCATCAATTTGGCATTTTGCTGCTGACTATGACTTCAAGACCTAACCTAGTCTGGCACCCAGCTTTCATCATGTATGTTTTGAGGGTGGAAACCACGCCTCAGGCTTGGCAATCCTTTACAGGCACACTGTGTTGCCAGGCAAAATTTGAGGAAATGCAATGGATGTTCTGTTACAAGAAATATCATGGATATGAAAGCCACTGTCTCTAAGACAGAGTAGAGAATAGAGGAACTAAATTCTTCAATGCATTCTACCAAAACTGGCTGGTGGTTTCCACTTCTCAGCTCCTCCCTTCTAAACTACAAGCATCTCCAGTTCCTGCCCTTCTGACTCCCCACCATCCACCAGGCACAGCAGGAATGAGGCTGTATAGTTCCAGCATCAGCCTTCTTTCCCCCCCCCGCCGCCCCCCAATGGTGAAGCTGGAGACAGGAGACGAACAGCAAAGGCAGCATTTGCATAATGAGACTTTCTAAGGGGCCTTGAGACTTAGGAATAACAAGTTTCAAAACCTGAGAGTGGGAGGGCTGGAAGACATGTGGGAGACTGCAGCAGAAGCAAGGAGAAATTACTGCCAGACTTTCAAAGAATAGAGGCTCTGAGAGAGGAGCATAAGCTGGAAAGACAGGAGAGAGCGCGGCAGTTTTTCAGAGCTGCTAAGGAGTTGGATTTGGCTGGAGTCTGGGGGCAGAGGCAGAAGACAGGACTCTGCGTGCAATACTAGGGCATCTGAATTCACCTGCTGCTGGAGAGATGTTCCTGCAGAAATCACAGCGAGAGACACGATCCACAGAATGGATCCAGGAGACATCCAGACACTGCAGTCAGCAAAACTCAGCAAAGACAGC